CAAACAAGTTGAAGTCTTCCGCAAACACCTAATCTAAAAATAGGAGGAAAACTTAAGACCCCAACAGTTGGTCCACACAGTTTCAATAGCTGTAAACAAAACTTGCCCTTAACAACCAATGTGCAAATTCATAACAGAAAATGTAGTAATTCTAACACTTTTGTATCTCAAAAACCTCAATGGAGACAAAGAGAGGGTCAAGTCAACCAGCAAATTCAGTAAATGTGTTGGGGAAGAACACACTATAAGCAGCATAACCTTAAAAAACAAACAAAAGCAATGTTTTTTTGGGACAAACCCCAAAAAGTATAACATAGTAAATAAAGCAAACAACACAAGTTTCAAAGTTGAAGGAAAACTTTAGAAGTAAATATACCAACATGAGAAGGCAAGCATGATACTTTCCAGCCAGAACTAAAGTCTCAGCCAACAAAGATTCCGTTGCAGAACACACCCAGATTCTCTTTTCAATTAGCAAAAGATGTTGAAAAATAGTGAAGATACAGAGAATGAAGGAGAAAGAGAGAGACCTGAGCACAAAGTGGTTTCTGGATATGGGTCTGGGTTCGATTAGGGTAAACCCTAGGGTTTTTGGTTTTCAAATATTGATATTTATCAAGGTCGATTTTTGCTGATTTGGTTTTCAAATATTGGCTTGATTTTTGGGTTTTATAACCTGTATTTCTTTCTCCATTCACATTGCGTGGGTGGCAACTGACGAGGAGGGACCACAGCTGGACATGCACAGCTGGACATGCACAGCTTCGCTGCTTCCCGGTGCTCCATTATTCATCCCGGTCCCCAACGCATGCATGCATGCAACGCTGTTTTGCACGGCATGCAGCTGATTTTACTGCTTTGGTTCAGAAAATAAAGATGAAGACGCCATGATTTCCCGAGGTCTTCTGAGTTGCCTCAAGATTACCTGAAGACGCCGAGAAAGTCTTCTTGGTTGGCCTAAAGACGCCGAGAAATCGTGAAAACACCATAGTTGGGGAAATAATACGAGAAGTAGATGATTCTGGGGAAAAGATCTCAAACCACATTATTTGGGCAGTTTTGCCGCCTTCTAATTGCCGTTTAAATTTAATTATTTAGTATTTACATTGAATTCAACCAAATTTCATTATTAAAATTAAAATAATTTAAATTTCAATGATAAAAATAATATATAACCTAAGGCTAAATGATATTTGAACAATTTACCCTACCTTTAATTAGCATAGTTTTGTTTATTTTGTAAAATATAATAAAATATATTAATTAAACAAACAAACATAATGCATAATAATTTAAACAAATACATGTATAAATTAATGAGTAAAGTATATACATAGTACCCAATCATAGGACGCTGGTTTGTTGAATCCACAGCCATAAAAAATTATAAAATAATTGTTTGACTATGTGACAATATTTGTCAAGTCCCTGACTATTAAAAGCTACAAAATGTCATTTGACTATTAATATGTTTAAAACTTGTAATTTTCTGTAAAAGAAAAAATCAATGATCGTTTGACATGGATGTTAACCTGTTGATTGAGATATGATAAAATATGTTAATGATGTCTAGTGGTATCGTCGTTGCTTTCAAGCACTAGCTTGACGACAAAATGTTTCAAGCATTGACTTGTCGACATAATGTAAATGAAGAGTTGATCTACAAAATACAACTCACGATTTTGGTATTAGATTTTGTCATATCTCAGTCAATAAGTTAACGTCAAACTCAGACAACCGCACATTGTTAACATAAAAGTATGAGTATGAAACATATGAATAGTCGGGTGACCATTTCGTAGCTTTTAATAGTTGATGACTCAACAAAACAACACCCTATAGTCGAGGGACCATTTTATAACTTTTAATAGTTGGAATACTCAACAAAGTATCTCCCTGTAGTCAATGAACCATTTGTGTAGTTTATCCTAAATTACTTTAGGCATAATGTAAAAATCAGCCCCCAACATTTACTAAAATGGTCATTTTAGCCCCTATTATTTTTTTAAAATATTTTTATCCCAACGTTTCATTTTGGAGCAAAAAACCTTTACTAAAGAGGGAAACCGTTAGTTAAAACACCATTATCGCTCTAAAATAGAGGGGTTTTGCCCCTAAAATAAAACGTTGGGCTCCAAAATGTTCTAGAAAAAATGAATAAGGGTCAAAGTGATTATTCTTTTAAATATTAGGGGTCTTTTTGCCCTAAAATAAAACGTTAGGGGGCCGAAATGCTCCAAAACAAGAATATGGGTCAAAACGACCATTTCAATAAACATTAAGTACTAATTTTGCCATTATTTTACTATATAACTCTTTATCCCAACGAACCAAAAACACTATTTAATATTAGACCTGGCAAAGTTGACTCGTACCCGATTACCCGAACCGATTTACCCGATTCGAGACCCGATATAGACCAAAATATGATGACCTAAAATTGATCTGAAACCCGAAATGAACCGAATCGAACCAAAATCGACCCGAATTTTTGTTGAACCGAAAACCATCCGAACCGAAAGTAACACGAACCAATAGCAACCCGAACCAAAATCAACCCGAACCGAAATCACCCAAACCGAAAACAACCCGAATTTAATTTACCCATATTCGATCCAAACTTTACTTCGACCTGATTTTAACCCGATAATTAAGTCTAAGTAAATGAATAATTTATTATTATTATTACTATTAACTTGATAAATAATAAAATGATGCATATTTTATTCTCATTTTGTATTATACTACTAGTTAAACCATTAGTATATCACCTTTAGTAATAATCAAATGGTTCAATATAATTCTTTCATAAATATGATTATGGGATCTTGGTTAATTTTAAAACCAAAAAAGAATATGAAAAATGTTGAAGATATTGCAGATAGATATGAACTTAACAGGGAAAGCAACTGGGTTAAATTGCCAAGCTCTGAAGGGACTGCACCTGTTAAATTGTTTATGCCTAAGCTACTGTTGAATTGTTCAAACAAAAAGGCGTTAGTAATAATTCAAGTTCCTTTCATATAAATGAGCTCAACAGTAGCAGTTTAAGAGAGTTACAGGTATTGCATCTTCGATAGTTGTCCGATTTCGGCCGGAACAGAACTGTTCAACACATTCTGACCGAGGTTCCTGCATCAAAGTTGACATATCAGATCAATCTAAAACAATGGCTAAAACAACGGAATCAAAGTTCAAAAATTTCGGTCTCATACAAGTCCATTAACTCCTTAAGCTCAAACAATTCTTTGGGTATCTCACCCTTGACATCCAAAGCATAAATCTTCCTGCAGATGTTTAAAACAAGTTCAGGTCAATAAACCCAAAACAGCAAACAAAAGAAATGAATCATGGTGATGCTTGTAAGCTGACAAATGAGTGATGTGGCATGGATTGCTGGAGCAGTCACAGGCAACACGAGGGTTAGAATCCTCAGTGGCCCATGGTGCAGTTTGGTTGCAAGGGTCCATTGTTAGATTGATCTTACTTCCAAGGTTCCAGTAACTTATGATCGTTCTAAGGGCAGCCACTGAGAAAGAAAAAAGCAGATCAAAACATGTATGAAAACTGCAGATCGTTCTATAAAAGATAAATGGTTTTTTGCATATAGACCTTCATTTGGATCAGTGGTTTGTTGTGCAGAAACAAGACGAAGCAGCCCAAGAATCAGCAGAGTAAAGCTGAGGAACCCCATGGCCGAGTAGCAGTACAAGACGTGTATGAACTGATGCATAATATATACACACTTTTAGTCCAAGTGATGGGACATGTAAGGAGAAAGAGATGGATTAAAAGTAAGGCCGGCCATACAATTTACAAAGGAAAGAAAATTAAATGAAGGAGAAGAGATGGACGAGGAAGATTCTTACAACAATGGAAGAACAAGGAGAATGAAGGCTAAGCAGTCATTGTTTGAGGAGGCTTCTTTTGACTGCCCGGATTCAAGGGTATTATTCTGTAATATAAAAGCGTAGAACAAAAGGGTTAATCAGGTTGTGTTACCACTTTGTTGTGAGGGAGAAAAGCTAATGCTTGTGCTTTAGTTCTTGTCTTAGCTTCTTTGACGTTGACATAACAACTAATCTTTGTATTGACTTTCGACCAATTCTCTGCGGATTCATTGGTGACAATTGAAATCAACTAGATAAGGTTAAAATGCTACCACAGGTTTTAACTCTTTGTCGTTGGAACTAAACTAGACTTCTTTGACTATGATCAAACAGTATATATTTTGATAATCTTACATAAAACTGTTGATTGCATTTTTTAGGTTTAATAGGTTGTTCAAATCATTTTAGAAAATAAGTAATATGAGCTTTATATTTTTTATAGCAATACGAGTTTGGTTCCCTTCCTCTTACACGAACCTCTTTGCTTTACATGGTACTATTATGTTTCGATCTGTTGGATAATTGTTTACTTATTGCAGTGATCAAGATTTCCCCCCCCCCAGTGTTTTCTTGATACTTGGCTGATAAAAAATGGTTCTTTGTCTTGCTCCCTGAAAGCTCGTTACGCGCAGTGAGTTCCCATGTACACTACTCTTAGGCGAACTATAGTTGTGTTTGCCATGATTGTGATATTTTTATATTTTTTATTGATATTCGTTCGGTTAGAATTTTATAATGGTCTACGCCCGTCCCTGGTGAGTTCCTTCTTGCAGGACAGAACTCAGAAGTATTCTTCATCTTCTATGGTTGGAAGGTAAATGTAATTCAATTCGCTTTCATGCCGTTGCTTCTCATAGGAAATGTTATATTGTTGAAAATCACCGGATTCTGGTCTAGTGCCTCGCCTGAAAGGAGTTCTTTGCTGAATATCTTGAGAGCAAAACGTTTTTACATTCATGGATACATTCCATAGAGTAAAAAAGAATCAAATAAAAAATATGACTAAAATAATTCAATTTTTAAATGATTAATGAATTGATTTTTAAGTTCGATTTAATTTTTGGTCCTATCGAATAACCTCCTAAACATAGCTAATATGGAAAGATAACGAGAAACGCACATTCCATTATTCTCTCTTTGAATCTCCAACGACCGACAGATCGTCCCTGTTCCCAAAGAATCAAAATGAGTTGAGCCTTTGACACCTGGTTTTTCCAGAGACAAAACCGGATATTCTCTCACGCTACCTCTTTTTCTCTTTCCCCATTACCCTCTTTTCGTCTGTTTTCCTCCTGTTTTTTTGACAGATTGACAGCATGTTGAGACTCAAAGTGGAGGAAAATTCAACTTCGAAGCTGCCGTCGATGCCATCCCCGGCGGTTGACAATGGTTCTTCTCGGAAGACTTTCCATTATTCGAAGCTTCCCGAAGAAACCGTCAGCCTCTGCATTCGCAAATTGGATGGCTCTTCCTTTGGTGCTTTTCCTACTTCCTTGCCCATCCCAAATAACATTGGGTTTCCATTAACATCTATTTTTTTCCGGCAGATGTCGAGGTTTTAAAGTCGGCTACCGTTGCAGATCTCAAGCTAGGGGTGCAGAATGTTTTTGATCATATGCCAAACGATGGTCCCGACAAGATTTCATGGTAACTTCATGTTTCTATCATATGTTTTTCTTGCATGTTATCCATCGGTACGTGTTGTTGACATTGAGTTGCTTGGTTGTGACATGGATTCATATGAATCTGCATTTTGGGACATGGAGGATACATGTCTGGGGACACTTCTGCTTGTCTTATGGTGATCAGAAGTTGATCCAAGACACCGACCTGATCGTAAACTATGGCATCAAGGATGCCGATCAGGTTCGTACCATGTTTCCTCTTCTCTTACAACATCATATTTCTGTCCCCACAATTACCTGCATTGATCTCTTCTTCTTCTTCTTCTTCTTCTTCTTCTTCTTCTTCTTCTTCTTCTTCTTCTTCTTCTTCTTCTTCCTTTTCCTGTTCTCTTCAGCTTCATTTCATTAGACATGTGTCCACCAGCACCAACTCGATAAAGATTCCGAAAAGTAAAGAGACTGTTCCTCAAAACCATTCATATCAGTAAGCCTCTCTTTATTAACCCTGTTTTAACACTAACATGAACTCGACATGGGAAGATGATGAAGCTGCTTGGGAAATTGCAGGCTGTTGGTGGATGAACTTGAAGATGAAGAAGAAGAAGAAGACATTTACGAGGTAATAAAAGAAGGAAGATGTGGTGGGTTATGGTCGTCGTGTTCAAAGTGTTCACCTTTTAAAGAATAAAGATACGGAAACTTTCAGAAACGGATCAAGTCGGTGTGCTTTCTGGTGAAAGTTTCAAACCAAAATCTTCATAATTTGGTACCACTATTTGATTCTCAATATGCTGTCATATTTAAATATAAAATACGTTTATATTATTAGGAACAAAGACCAGAATTAACATATCAACATAAATAAAGTAGAACCTTAAGCACAAATTTATCATATAAATATCTTTATCTTCAAGAAGAAGAAGAAAACGTCAATCCCAGAAGAAAAACACTAATCAATTATATATTATATAGATCAACTGTCAATGAATAATCACATATTAATCTTGTTATCGTTAAACCGTTCAAACAATGAATATTGATGGGTTAACAAAATATAAAAAATTATTTTTTTATTTTTAAATGAAGGTATAAATATTATTTTAATGAAACTAACACAACTAAGATGTCTAGATCGTTAACCATGTTATTGACCTCCTTATAAGGGAATAAGGGTTTAAATCTCATTATCCTCACAAATTAATTTCTCTTGACTTTATTTAACCAACACGTAATTAAATTGCTGATAATAAATAAAAATTAAAAGATAATAAAAAATTATCATATAAAAATGATTTAATAATAATAAAAACACTAGGATGATCAAATAGAAAGTTGTATTTCTCCTCAATTTGTGTGGCAAATAATGAGATAACATTCTGCAAAATTTCACACTCATCGTCATCTCCAAACAAAATTGGAAAAACCCATTCTTTTTTTCTGCAATTTAAACCGAAAATTACAAACAAACAAAAAAATCCCACCTTAGACATCCCAAAAGCTCAAAAGACTCGCCATTTCCCTCATTTCATCAAAAACCAGAAGCCATGGCCAGCATGATAATGGCTTCCTCAAAACCTGTGACCACCATTGTTGCTTCATCTTCCTTCCCTTCAAAACCCAAACTTCAGAAAACTCCACAGCTTTCCTTTCCCAAAATCCCCATTCCAAAGTTCTTAAAAGCCCAACAAATCCCCACTCTCAAATCCATCTCCATCTTCACACTCACCTCTTTGTCCTTTGCCCCACCTTCACTTGCTGCAGAGATAGAAAAGGCTGCACTTTTTTATTTCAACTTAACTCTCCCAATCATGATGGTTCAGTTCTTGCTCCTCATGTTTGCTCTCGACAAGGTCTACTTCACCCCCTGGGGAAATTCATGGACGAGAGAGATGCAGCCATAAAGAAGAAGCTTTCCGGCGTGAAGGACACGTCTGAGGAAGTGAAGCAGCTTGAAGAACAAGCCAATGCTATCATGAGAGCTGCAAGGGCAGAGATTTCAGCCGCTTTGAATAAGATGAAGAAAGAGACTCAGTTGGAAGTTGAGCAGAAACTGGCTGAAGGAAGGAAGAAAGTTGAGGCTGAATTGCAGGAGGCTTTGGCTAATTTGGAGAATCAGAAAGAAGAGACCATTAAGTCACTTGATTCCCAGATTGCTGCTCTCAGTCAGGACATTGTCAACAAGGTGCTTCCTCTCTAAATTTCACATATTTATAGCATTGGACGACTCTATGTACTTATTGAAATCTGAACCCTTTGTTTTTCTTTCTTTCCTTTTATTTATGGGTTATGTTCATAGGGTTGCTTGATTATATTCCGAGTTAAGTTCATCTATGAAACTAGTTTTCTCAAGTGAGAATCAATTTGGGTTGGGGGGATTGTACTTGTTCAGTTTCTTCAAGGAAACCTGTTATACTCCACACTTGTATCTATTGAAGTTTAAGAGGAATTCTTTTGTTGATCGAAGTCTCCAAATTTTCTGGAAGCCTCCAATCAATTACAATTTCTTAAAATGATTATTGATAAACTCATCTAATTTGTTAGAGTTAAATCCGATATCCGATAGTCATATATTTTTATCTTGTTAGTTTAAGTTTAACATTAATCTAACATAAAAATCACCATCTATGATTAGAGAATAAATCCTGAATCGATTTCTCTCCACATATTGTATATCATCTTCTTCAATTTATCAGAATCACCAGTTTTACTCTCCACCTAAATTTGAAAAAAAAAGGCATCATCCATGACTAGAGATCTTAAACTCTCAATTTCTCTCTTCACAAATCGTGTATCATCTTCTTCAGTTTATCAAAATTACCGGTTGTGACTCTCAAAATTTAAAAAATTAACTGCCTACAGCTGCCGCAATCCTACATTTCCCCTCGACAAAACCAAAGGATTTATAATATGCTTTGAATATCACAAGCAGCCGCCATTGGAGCAAGAGAAATTGATTCCTTTGAAGGGGGTTACTGTCACTTCCAGTGATAGCCATTGGTGAAAGTTGAACATTAGCCAATGAATATGGGAGAAAAAACAGTTTCAAAACTAATGCCGACTGCTTTTGCTGCTTCTTACTTTAATGAAAATGATCGACAAAAGGTAATATTGTTCCATCAGCCAACTGGTAGTTGTGGAACAAAGGGCCAAGAATCAATGGAGCACGCTAACTTGGCTTCTCTTGCAATAGGTTGACGCCAATCATTCCTGCAGACAAGCTGTATAAACTTCAACAGCACAACGTTTGATAATCAACTGAATTTATACAAGCTCACCAAGAACAATTGCAGCATCAAAGATGCACAGTTGTATGCATCCATTTTCTCTTCCACAGAATGCGCAAGAACAATACCTCAAAATCGACAATGAAGTGTTCAACCATGTTGGAAAATGGAAAGTCTTATATGCGTGCAAGATAGCTACAAAATATTTAGATAATCCTCCAAATAATTCATGAGACATGGCCTACGTCAATTCCATAAAACTCGGGTTTTTTATCTGTTCAAATCAAGTCAACCAATAAGTATGCAAGGGAAGAGACATCCTAATAATACGTACTCCAATGAACATCATCTAGTTTCCTTTTGCAAAATTATACGAAATGTAAAAGGTAATTACAAATTAAAAGTAGAAATGAACATCATCTAGTTTCCTTTTGCAAAATTATACGAAATGTAAAAGGTAATTACAAATTAAAAGTAGAAAATAGCTTAATATAAAAGTTACCAAAACTATTGAATACAGAACTCTGGTTTAAGGTTTTATAGAATCAAAATTTACATAAAAATAAAACACCTTAAATATGTTTATAACATGATAAAATACATGACATGATACAAGTACACAAATTGCCTAAGTCTACTTCAGAGAAAGGGACAAGAAGTTCATGGAGTTCAACTCAGCAAAAAAGTACAGTAAGTTTCGACATCTGCATGATCGATGAGAACATGATTAATGATCAAGATGCAAGCAGCTAACCTACAACCCGAATTTCTGCTTAGCTGAACAAGCTACCTCCCTGATGCCACCCTCTCACTGCGAGTGAAAACAGTCACATATTTAGATGCAACATCAGGTCAGGAGCTTTAACTTCGCAGGTGTGCACCAGCAAGTCCAGCATCTTTCACTAGCTGCTCTGTCAAAGCTGAAAGCCTAGCTACTCCTGTTTTAACTTCAGTGAAACTTTCGTCGTTCTTGATCATAGGATCGGAACAACTTTGCAGTAAGATACTGGTATCAGAATCGGCCTCAACACTTGTGCTAGCTTTAATCAAAAGTTCATGGCTCATTTCAGCAAGTTTTTGAAGAGCGCTTGTGGCAGCTTCAACTTCCAGTTCAGCTGCCTCAAGTTGCAGCTTCTCAATGGCCAAATCACCAATACTTCTCCCCCAATTCTCTCTTGTGCCAAAGCATAAAGCTTCTTCATATCATTGGCATCTTCAATCATTTCTTCCTTCAACCTTTTTAGTTCTTTTTCTCTGGCTTCCAACCTCCCAAGAACTGTTTTGAGCTCCTCATCTTTTATTGTGAGGACCCTCTGTGCAACAAGAACTTCCATTTCTTTTTCTTTTAAGGTCTCTTTAGTCAATTTGAGTTCGGTTTCAAGCTGTTTCTTCTGCAATCTGGAATCATTAGAAGGTCTATCTACCAGCTGATGCATTAACTCATGGCCAATATCATCAACAGGCCTCAACAAATTGTTATCTTCATCCTTAACAGAGGTAACTAGTCTGCTCGTGAGTTCTGCAATTCGTTCTATCACAGTTTCAGCTTCAGAGAACTTCATCTTTGTATCACTCAACTCATCTTGTACTCTCAGAACATATTCGTCTTCTCCTTCAATAAAGCAGTTGCTTGAGTGAGCTGATTTTCTTTACTGCTCATAAGCATCTTTAGCTCTGCAATCTCCTGATTTAACTGTTCTAACTTCTTTTTGGCATCGGAGAGTTCCTGGTTTTTCTCCTCCAAGATAAGCTGCACAGAAGCTTGCTCAGATTTCAGATGCTGGATTTCTAGTTTAGCCTCTACCAACTCCGCTTCTTTATTTTGCAGAACATTGCTCATATCACCAAACTCAGCATTCTTCTGCTCTAACTGCTGTCGAAGAAAAGAGGCATCCTGGATAGCCTGCTGAAGTGAAGATTTCTCTTTCTTCAGTTCCTCCTGTAACTCTTCTAGTAGTTCCCTTTCCACGGATAAATCTCGTTCAAGATCCTTATTCCCAGCCTCTACAACCCTAAGCTTCACTCTTTCACTCTCTACTTCTATCTGGGCATTTTTCAAACTTTCCATGTATGATGCAACACTTGTCCTCTGTTCTTCAAGCTCTTCAAGTTGCCTTTTCAATAACTGTTCTTGTTGTTCCATTTGCTGTCTCGAAGATGCTAGAGATTTCTGAGAAGAAACCAACTCGGACCTAACATCAGCAAGTAGTTGCTTCACTCTGGTGAAATCGTTAAAGGTCTCATTAGCTTCTCCCATGTGCTTAGATGCTTCTTCTGCGAGTTTCTTCAGTTCTTCTTGGGCTGATAACCACTCCATGGTCTGCTGCTCCAATTTAGACTCAGCAATTTTCAGCTTCTCCTCTTCAAGTTTCCTAAGACTCACGGACGTTTCTAACTGCTCTTCTTTCTCCTGAATTGCTTCTCGGAGTTCTCGAAGCTCGATTTCTTGTTTCTTCACAACTTCGTTG